TGTAGGGAACTGTCAGATCAGCAGCGTATGTCCTTTCAGTCGTTTCGGTGCCACAGAGTGTGTTTTTTTTTTTACTGTGTGCGTCTTTAAACGGAGCCTTGTGGTCAGGCTTCTACTCCTGTGTTTACAACTATAGAGTGTGTTTCTAATGGTTGCCTGGTCAATGAACCTCAAAACACTGACTGAACTCCCCCGCTTCCACTCGCTCTTCAGCTCTTATCTGTAGCACAGCTGCTGCCTGCTCTCGTCTGCTAACGGGGAGTGGTGTCTGAGTGTGCGAAGAGTAACATCTTTAGTTACTTTGTTCACACATTGATTCCTAGATGAAAAATGGGGTTTGATAGTACGTATCGGCGTTCTGGAACTGATTGTCCTTGAGACCTAGAAACACGAGCTAGTGTTAGAAAAGTACTAGTGACTAATGGCGCGTCCCACGTCAAGAACGGTGAATCAGCTTCATCACAGTTTCTCCATATGAAGCTAGAACTTCTTTAACTTCTTTAATAAACTTGGTTTGTTTTTATCAGGTAAAGGAAATCAAGTTGCTTAGGTAATATAAAAAAAACAAACATGTTTGTTACTATGGATTACTTTGAATGTATTCATGGTGATTAAATGTACTGTATGGTAACTTTGTTAATGTGGGATTTGGTCCTGCTTTTGCTGGTAGTTTTGCAGTTTTTAAAAAGCAGAAAAAGGCAAGAAAAATATACCAATATTATTCAAAACAAAGAAAAATGAGATCAGAATCAGACAAACTTTATATAAATTGTTATATTTATTGATGAATTATTATTATAAAATATACACAACTGTCAGATAAAAAAAATTTCAAAATGTGATTTAAAACAAAAACATTTCACAGTTTTTTTCTGACTAAGTCACAAACAAAAACAACATCCGACCTAAATCTACAAACCAGTCATGTTTATTTGGCAGCCACACAAATCCAGGCAAATAGTATGCGTTGTTGAGTGGTGGTCACCTGACAGTGAATTCCTTGTCCACACACTCTGACTGTACCCTGACCCCTGACCTGCAGCTCTGCTCAAACCTTTTCCTCCTTGTGCTCACGCTCTGTTTCCTGTTCTCTTCTGACTTGGTGACTGCAGGGGGAGATGGTGAGAACAGCGGACCCTAGCCTTTCCCAGCCACAGCCCAGACGATTGCTGTGGAGCGAGAAGCCCACCGCTCGCCTCAACCCCCAGCTCTCTGGCCACCACTAATGTGGGAAAAGCCTGGGAGGGTGTCCCCGCGAGCACACTCTCTGCTCAAACAGCGGTTTCGGGATCCAAACCTACCACTATGGCCCTCTGCACACAGCTCCAGCATGACCAGTCATCCTGGCCCCGGGGCTGGTTAATGACAGCCTGCTTCGTGAGTGTTTTCTTTGCAGTGTTGTTTCACCTTGCCTCAGACCAAACACAACATGCCACACAAGTTGCAGTCGGAGTCAGCGAGGTGGAATTGCACCAATGACTCGTGACTTCTTGTAACCACTTTTAAAGTTCTCTGTAAACATCTGTTTGGCCTGGACTGAGTCACACGGAGGCCACCGGCTCCTGTAGCTGTAAAAGCTGTAAATGTTATGTTTCCGATGTCTAATATTAATCAGTTGACTGCAATAACCACGGCCTAACAGTGGGGTCATGTTGACATCGGCGTGGGGGGGATCACGGCTACAACAGGGTATTAATGATTACACGGTCGTTTGGAGGGGGATCACAGACGTGATCTTTTATGAAAAGGTTAAGATTAAGAACTGGAGAATCTCTGTATCAGAACATAAATCAAACGCACACGTTCACATCCAAATGAAACAACCAGACTTTAAAACAAATGATGAGAGGAACGATGTTTGGCCCGCTCATCTAAACTCTTATTATCGTGTCAAATCTTTGCAGGTCCCGTGCCAGTCCTGGGCCATGGGAATTGGCGTACGTATCATTCCAGCTTTGAATCCAATCCTCTATCAGTTCAATGGAAAATTACGCAAATCATAATTCCTCTAAAACTCAATTATTTTTATTTTCTCTGAATACACAAAGTCTGAATCAGTAGGAATGTTCTTTGTTCACACGGACACCGTTTCTCAGATTGGAGTTTTTTTGTACTTAACGCATCATCCATAAGTGGGGAGGGGGGCGTGGCTGGAGGGGCTCTTGGTATGGGAAACTTTGTGACCTCACCAGTTCTCGTCTGCTCCCCGCCGTGTGAACAACTACCATTCACTCTCTGTTTGCCCACGCTCCCCTTAAATTCCGCCCCTGTGTACATACGGGGGGGGGGGGCATTATATTCTAAGAATTATATATTGTTGTTATCCAAAGTTTAATTGTCTCGAAGCAGCGGTGACCCACTGGCTTTCGAGTGTCTGCTTTTCATTAGCTCTGAGTTGCCGAGTAAAGTCTGTTTACACTGACGCAGAGACGAGCACTTGAGAAAATGTCCAGGAGAAACTTGCTCTTTTTTCTGAAAAAAAAAAAAAGAAAAGAGCAGGATCTTGTGAGCTACACTACATGCAGCGTCATACACACTTGGAGACAGTGTAAGCAGAACTTACCACAGCGTTGTGTGAGTGTGATTGTGGGGTCGGTCCTGAGGGCGGGGTCCGTGGTCGTGAGAGCTGAGCGTTCTTTTTGGCACGTCATCACATGACTCCCTAGCACAGAGGAGAGAGAGAGAGAAATGTGGAAATGTGAGCTTGCAGGTTGTGTTTTTTTTTTTTGGCCCAAAACTGACAATTGTTGCAGAGTCACTGTCAACATGTGATTTCCTAGGAACCACAGTGAGTGAGTTTGGCCTGTTTTAGAACCTATAGGTAAATTTGGGGTTTTCCAGAAAAAGGGTCTGCTGCTCATTTCACAAAAGCATGAGTGGCCCTCAGTTGTGAGGGAGGAAATATTTCACCGATGATTTTATGGGATGCTTTTTTTCTTTTTCTTTTTTTATACAGTCACACTCCTAAATTTAAAGTGTTCTTTCATAAATTTTAATCATAAATACTTTTACTCATTTTTGGGCAATAATTTTGTATGACTTTTCAGAAAAGTCTTTTCATTCAACACGTTTCTTCTAGTTACTTTATGACAAAGTTTTTGTTTTTGTTTTTTGTTTTGCTTTCTAAAGTTGCTATTTATGCTATTATTGCTGTGAGAAGCCAAACTTCAGCTTTTCAGTTAGTGAGTCAGGCAGTCGTGAGAACTCGCTGATGATGCTGCATGTTGTTCTGTTCTGGCCCACCTTACGAAGGAGGTGTCTGGGTTACAGATCCATACGGATGAGGTCATACTGGAACTTCTACAGGACACAGCTGAGCTGATGTTCTACTGTATGTATGGGAACTGTTAGCAAAGGGTTAAAGTGTTAAAGTGGCTGGATGAGTTGGCGGCTGATAAATACTGTGGCCCTCTGGAGAATTTAGACACCGACCCTGAGGCGGAGGATCACATCCAGTGACTCGAGGCTGTTCCAACCTCTGGCACTTCAAAGTTTAATGTTTTGTGGGAAAGAAAGGACCAAGATGAAAAAGATTTTGTGAAAATCTCATGAGTAGAGCATGATTTGATCAATTTGGTTGTAATGATAGCTTTCAGGTGTACGTTAACTATTTTTCAGTAATAATATACAACAGTGGCCCCTCTCCTATTGTGGTGGTTGCATTCCCACCACGAAAAGTGAAAATCCGCAAAGTAGAGGCAAGTTAGTTATTATATTATTGACATATATATTTTGCCTTCACAAACCTCCCCCACACTGTTATCAACCATCCCCAGACTGTATCACACTTTCCCACACCATTATATGCACAGTAGAGATGTATAATGGAAATATAAGAGATACATGTGACGTGAATAAATGAAATACAGGACGCGGTGGAGGTTAGCGCTCAGACACAAACACACAGACATAAACACACAACAAACAGACACATTCAAATAGACACATAGACACAAACGAAAAGTTGACGTGCCAAAAATGTATATTTTTTCTGAATTT